AGAAAATCGCAAATTCCAGCACATGCTTTTAGTTTCTCTTCTTACGAAGGGCGAGAAAGTGAAAACTGAGTAACCATTGCAGTAAATAATGAAAGTACTCACTTAGCCTATCATTTTTCAACTTTCGTGTATATTACACTTTCCTGCATTTTACACTTTTTTTCATTGGTCCCCTGAAAAGTGTAAAAGAAGAGTTTTACTGTATCTTTAAGAATATTACTTAGGTAAAGAGTAAAACATTCCTTTATGCAATTTTTGATTGCTTATAGGAACAAGATTTATCCTCTTTTTTTGGTGTCAGGGATCTGCTGAAAAATCTCCCATTTTTGTTTTACACTATTTTCTTTTCACCACTTATGTAGTATGCGAGAAAGTAAAAATTACTAATATGTTGACAAAAAACCTGTTCATTAGATTTAGGTTCATTATGAGAAATAAATTGCATTTACAGCAAAATGTTTAGCATCGATTAATGAAGGTGCAAGGTTTAATGAAAGTTGAACTTGCACTAAGAGAGGGGTTTGTCACCACCTATGGCCATATTTAAAAACACATATGGCTCTTTTCAACAAAAAAATTGAGGAAGAAATTTGGAGCTGTTTATAAAAAAAATTCAAATTGTTTTAAGATGACATTAGGACACCCTTTCCAACATAAATTCTGGTTAATCGAATTCAAAAGTTCTGCTAGATCAATTGCTTATTTATTTTGGAGAAAATCATGAGCTGTTTAGATGCTAGTGTTCTAGTGTTTTGGGGGAGGGGAGAAAGAAAAACTATCAGAGATCCCCAAAATGCCTATTAAAGTCTAAATATCAATGTTGTATATTACTATTTCTATTCTACATTTAGTGAAAATAAAAATACGGTGGAGCCTATGGCAAAATTTCAATCAAAATTAAGGACCACCCTAATATGCATTTACAGTACTAGTTTATGCTTAACAATTTTCTTATCACAGTGCCTTGTTCAACTTGGTGCCAGCAAAGATTGTTTAGTGCAATTATGGCCTTATTTATAAATATGTGTTTGGAACTACAGAGTAACTAAAACTATTGCTTGACATAATAATGACTTCAAGTAGAAACGGCAAAGAAAGTTTGGTCTTTTGTAGAAATTATGTTCCTCAAAAGTAATTAGGCTTTAATAATTAGTAGGCATGCTTAGTAATCGTAAATAATGCATATTAACAGAATTGATATTTCTGTTTGTTTTTTAGATGCATGATTAGAGTTTTGAACAGGGGTATTTATTAAACTCCATGGTAATACATTCTTTTTCTGTCAGGTTTTTATAAAAAAATTTCTCTCACCCATCTCTATAGATGAGTTTCTCTGTGAACATCAAATATATTTTTGGGGATTCTGCATAAACTCCCTGGGAACCCTGTATTGGTTCTCAAAACTTTTTGTCTCGGAGCACATTCTTTTGAAATGGCAAACATTGCAGCGTACGCATAGAGTAGAAGCATATGTCTGCTTTAGAATTTCAAATGCAAAATTTCAAAAGTAAGAAAGGATGAAAATTTTTAATTGGTCAGTTTATAATACAAACTTAGAAATTAAAAATTATTTTAGAGATTAAAAGGGAGCGAATAATATTGCTAAATTTTTTAATTCATATTACTTCTTTTACATCTTCATATTTCTCTAATTAAAGTATTTTCACGGCACACCCTTTGAGGACCCCCTATATAATGTATTGTGTGAGAAGAGATATTGGAATTCTTAATGAAATTAGAACTCTCGCATTTTTGCAAATAAATTTATATTCATTTTATTTGCTTTTTACTCAGAGTTTGCTGCTATCCTTGACTTCGGTGACCGCAAAACTAGAATCCTGAATTTCCAGAATTTCTTTTAGTTGTGACACTGGCACTAATTTGATCCATCTTAAGTACTTTTCATAATTTTATTTATAATATATGTAGATAGATTAGATATAAATAGATAAGATATAAATAGATAGATAGATTTGATATATAGATTGCTCCCATATAAGATGGATTTAGATATAAATAGATAGACGATGGATTAATGATAATAGATGATAGACGGATATTAGATAATGATAGAGAATGATAGATATAAATAAGATAATAGACGGAATGGATATGATATAAATAGAAGATGAGACGGATGGACATTAGATATAAATAGATAGATAGACGAGTGGATTTAGATATAATAGATAGATAGACGGTATTGGATTAGATATAAATAGATAGATACGCGGATGGTTAGAATATAAATCGATTGATAGAACGTGATGATTAGATATAAATAGATAGATAGACTGATAGGATTAGATATAAATGATAGATAGACTGGATGGATTAGATATACATATAGATAGAGGATGGATTAGATATAAATAGATAGATAACGGATGATTAGAATATAAATAGATAGATAGACGGATGGATTAGATATAAACATAGATAGATACACAGATAGATTAGATATAGATCGATTTTTTATATTCATATGCACAGTGACATCCAAATTTGAAAATCTTACATAATATTTCCCATGCAAATTCTATTGATATTGCTTACCTGGCTGATAAGCCTTGATTCAATCCAAATACTTCTTTCAGACATTTTGTCTGCAGACTTTCTCAATGTCAGTGAGACAAAGATAATACCCTCCTGACAAGTGACTATGTACTGGCATAGTCACCAGTCAGCCAGGAGCTGTCCAGGAAAGTATTACAACCTTCACCCCTACCAACACTGAAGATGTGTGCCGCATGTGTGAACAAAATGTTTGAATCAAGCATTTGGCTGGACAATAGCATACCAGCTGGGTAAACAATATCAATATTGAAACTGGTTATGAAAGCTGTCATTGTTTTACAAATGCAAATATTGCCCTATCTTCAAAAGCTTTCCTTGTCTTGCGATGAATGTAGATCCATGGAGCGTGCTATTTATATATTTGTTGTTGACATAATTGTACCTCTGGTTTATTTTATGCACTTTCTGCATGGACATTTTAACAATAATCATCATGGACATCAAATAGTGCAAGGTAACAAATTTAATCCACATACCCAATGAATAAACTTTTATGACCATATCTTTTTTCTTCGCATTCTTCGATTTTATACAATAAATGCAAAATGGATTGCCTCTGTTAACAACTGCACTTAATCACTTCTGCACTTCAATGGCTGTTCACATCAGATACACACATAGGTTGTAGGCTCTTTGTTATTGGTTGACATAGGTTTTAAACCCACAAAAGTTGTATTGTTTGCACTTTAAAGAGACTTTTCTCTCCTCTCACCCACTTCTTTTCTTTATGTTAAATAATTTATTTTTTGTGAAACGCTCAAAATCAATATAATATGATGTTGCAAAAATGTTCTTTGAACTGCATGTTCTGTAATGCTGCCTGGGTTTATTTTCATGTCAAAGCAGTATTTCTGCCTTCAGCATTTGAAAATGAAAAAAATAATCGCTCTTCTTTTTGTCTTCTTTTGGAGAGATTTTCACATGTATCAAACTTACTTCGAAAATTTATCATAACTCGTATTGCATTTTATTTACATTAACTTGCAGTGTATTGAAAGTTAAAATCCTCAGATTACCATAAACTTTCAACAAGTAAGGTCTGATTTTACACACTCCGAAGTCACTGGAGATGTGTGTAAGAGATTATCTTTGTTTCGTGTGTTCCATATTTTTGCTATTTTAATTGCAATTTAGAAGCACAACCACAATATATAAGGTATTCAGATACCAATATAGATACCCATGTATGGAGGTGATTATTAAGTTGTTGGTCACTATGCAATAATCTAGATGTCATGTATTTAGACAAATAAATGGTCCCTTTTAGAAACTCTCAGAAAAATTTTGGCAATGCGTAGTGTCTTTATCTGATAAAAACTGAGAGATCGTTCTTTGTATTGGTTATCATGATAAGTACACTACGCTGTAATGGCTGAACTGGTTGTTTTATTTAGTAGTTGTTAGATTCATTGCAGAAGTTTGTAGTTTGTATAAAACTATCCAGTGTAAGAAAATCACATTTTTCGCAGTAAGTTTTCACATCATGTAATATGAAACTTAATTCCTCTGTTGTTTGTTTTCCATTGATAGTTTCTGCTACAACTGCATTAACTTTGAAAGTAGATAATAAATATAGTCATGATTTATGTTTTTATATCTTCTAAAGCCATACAGCGTTTTCATTTTTCATAATTTTGATCAGAATTTTTCATTTATTGGTAATATATTTCTGATTAGCATTTGTGAGAAATGGAAGTGGATATATAATGCATGAAGTATGAATCTATTTTATTCAATCTTAAAGAATTAGCCTTCATTTTGTACATAGGTTTCTTGTGTATCTCACTTTCTAGAAAATTTAGGAATATCTTGTGAAGATGAAATTTTGCAATGACAACTCTGTGACTGTTTCTTCAATTTTTATTTGAAAAGTTTTGGTGGAATACACTACTCTATATTCACTAGTAAAAATTGCATTTGATTATTTTCTAGTAAATTTATGTATTCTTTGAGCTTTCCAAATTGTATGTTTAAATTGTCTTCTTTGCCTTAATATTATTGCTATTTGAAAGGTAGTTACTAATCTATTTAATTCAATAGTAGTGTTTTATATTCATAATTTAATTTAACTATCACTTGTAGGTGTAGTATTTTTGACTTGATTCTTGTTTTGCATGTGTAATGAACTAGCAGTGGAAATGTTCTTGCAATTTGTCCAATTCTGTCTGCCAGATATCTAATTCCAGAACAGTAAAGATTTTATGAAAGTAAGTTGAAAATTCATATTTTTCATTTGGGTAATTGAACAATCTTAGTAAGTTCTCTTCAGGAGTTATAATTTCATGAATAGTTCTGATTACAATTGTCAGTATGTTTGTTTTTCTTACAGACATTTTCCTAAGTACATTAGACGTAGAAACATTTTTGCAATTAAGTTTGTATTTGCTTTCAACTCATTTTCTCTGAAATAATTCTTTCGCCAGGAGGGAGGTGAAGGAATGGCTTCAATGGACCCACAACTTGAGAGACAAGTGGAGACAATACGCAATTTAGTCGATTCATACATGAAGATAGTGACAAAAACAACTCGAGATTTGGTACCCAAAACCATCATGATGCTGATCATCAATAATGCAAAAGATTTTATAAATGGTGAATTATTAGCTCATCTCTATGCATCCGGAGATCAGGTATGGATTTTTTTAAAGTTTTTTGTTTATCTATTTTTGTTCTTAAATGAATTCGCAAATTAGTGTGAGGCTTCCATGAACTTGTTTCTGGAACTGGAGTTGGATCTGGAGTTCAGGGAGCTGAACATGTAAGAATGAAAACTTTTTTAAAAATCTGCTGCCGGTGCTCATTAACTCAATGTTGTGAACTCTCATGATACACTGCTCAACTTAATTTTGTGCAACCAAGATTCCATTGTTGTCACCAAGTATATTGATGCCCTGTTATCATGCAATGCACACCATCCAGCTCTTGTTTTGAGTTCCCATTGGTCATCAATTCATCTTCTTCAATGATGCTAATGGCAATTTACAACTTTTGGGGTGGAGACTAATATTCTATACTTCGTACATGATCTTGGCTCTCCGGGTGATGCCGCATCAAAGGCTGTTTTGCCGACATTTTGACCATCTTGTCGTGGTCTTCCTCAGGGCTGGTATTCATACAAACATCATCTTATGTGAATGTAAATATTCACTTCCATGACAGATTTGGATATTTTTAATCAATATTTGCGCACTGGTATTTTTCCTATGTTGTGGATGAGCGAGTGATTCCTGTTCATAAAAAGGGCAAAAATCAGACTTCGCAATCCCTATCCTCTATCCTGCTATCCCAAAATTGTTTGAAAAGCTAGTAACTTAAGTTCATGATGAATATCAAAAATTTGCTTTCTGAAAGGGAGCATGGATTTAGGAGCTACAAATGAACTATTACTAACTTGACAGTTTTTAGAAGCTTAATCGCCGATGCATTTGAGATCAGTTATCAAGTAGTCACAATTTATACTGTTTTTACTAAAGTCTTGGAGAGAGTTAATCATACCATTTTGACATGCAAAATGTTCGCCAGCATGGGCGTGAACAAACCTCTTCTGTTCTGGATAAGTTCTTATTTGACCGGTCGAACAAAGTGGTGTGGTGTCTCTCAGGGTTCTCATTTATGTCCTATTCTCTTCATTGTATTTATTGATGACTTACCATCGGTCTTTTCCTATAGTTGTGCCTTATTATATGCTGATTACCCAAAGATTCTGTCTAGGATCTCAGTTGTGAAGGATGCTAGACATTTGCAGCAAGATCTCAATAACTTGAATCTGTATTGCACTACTAATGCAACTACACACAGATAAACGTTTTGCCATAACTTTTTCCTGTCTTCAAAATCTTATACAGTACTAGTATTCCTTGAATGATTGTCTGCTGACAACTGTTGATGATCAATGATCTTGGAGTAATATTTGACTGTGAACTGAATTTTAATTTACATGTTTTGACAACCGCCAACAATGCAATAAATACTCTTAGTTTCCTTATGAGAGACACTCATGACTTTAATGACATTAGAATCTTTAAGATCTTATTTTTCTTTCATTAGATCACTTTTGAAATATGTGTTTGGATCTGGTCCCCTTAATCACAATTTTGTATTGATACTATTGAGAGAGTTCACACCAGAGTCCTTCATCAGATTGTATATTTAAACGACACACCCATGTCTAGGTTCTGCCATGGCTATACTCGGACCCGCGAAATGTTTAATACACCTTCATTATCCTTCAAAAGAGACCGTGACATGTTGTTTTTGTACAATGTCATTAGCTTACCATTAACGTGAATCACAATAATTTCTACTTATAATACACTCTCTCCCCCTCTGTCTCTCTCCCCCCTCTGTCTCTCTCCCCCCTCTGTCTCTCTCCCCCCTCTGTCT